GAACGCATGGCTGCGGCGTGGAGAGCTCTTCCCGGAGACGGAAGCCTTTATGGTAGCCATTCAAGATCAGGTAATAGACACCCGTAACTACCAAAAACATATTATTAGAAGGCCCAACATGTTGACTGATTTATGTAGGCGATGCCACTGTAGTTCTGAAACTATTCAGCACATTACTGGAGCCTGCAAGTCCATAGTCCAAACTGACTACAAGCATCGGCACGATCAAGTCGCTGCCATCATACATCAACAACTTGCACTTAAATATTCACTCATCACACAGGCACAAAAAACATCTTACTATAAGTACACACCTCAAACTATTCTAGAATCTCCTAATTACAAACTTTACTGGGACCGTACAATCATTACCGACAAAACCATACACTATAATAGACCCGATATATTGCTTCTCGACAAAACTAACAACACCGTATTCTTTATAGATATTGCTATACCCAACACACACAATCTTGCACAAACATATTCTAGTAAAATAGCTAAATATACGGACCTATCCATAGAACTTAGGAGTCAATGGAAAGTGCAAACAGTAACCACAATACCAATAGTCCTATCAACTACAGGTGTTATACCACACACTCTACATACTAGCCTGGAAACCTTAGGCCTCCACCGCTCAACTTATATACTTCTTCAAAAAGCCGCAATTTTAAATACATGCCGAATTGTAAGAAAATTCCTATCCTTATAGGTGGTAACTTTCTTACAGTTTTGGATTTTTAACAGGATTGTACTCGCAGATTTATTTATTACTATTATTTATTTATAATATTTTATTTATATAACCTTATTTTATTTATATAGTTACATGGCTGATATCTTTCTTAAATCACCGAAACATAAAAAAAAACCACCCAGTTTTTGCTTGGCTATTTGCCCGCAATAATTGGTTATACCCTAGTCATCTAGGAGAACAAAATTGTAAAAACATAATAATAATAATAATAATAATAAACTCTTTATTGTACACCAAGAATAAAAGAAAAATAAATAAACAGAGAGTAGAAATGTACAAGAGGCGGCCTTATCGCTAAAACAGCGATCTCTTCCAGGCAACCTTTAGGTGTAGGAGATAGCAAACTGCAAGAGGGAAGGGGTGTAAATAATAGAGTAAATATGTATATCACAATATATATAAAAAAAAAGAAAAAAGTTGACTAGTAAAATGCATAAGTATATATGTTTATACTAATAGATATATACATATACTTACACAGATACGCATACTACATACGATATATATATATATTATATATAATAAAATATAATAAAATAAAAAGAAAAAAAAACAAAACAAAAGGCAAGACAAGACAGCTTACAAAGAAAGATAAGTTAAAAAATAACAATAATAATATTCGTATGTAAAGTGTATGTAAAGTCAAAAACTAAGAAAGTATTCTTTTAGCAGTTTTTTAAATATCGTTAGTGACTTCGCACGTATGATATTAAGGGGAAGAGAGTTCCAAAGACGTGGGGCTGTTACAGTGAATGAATTGCTATAGAAGGAAGAGGAGTTAGAAGGGATTTTAAGGATAGGGTTAATATCAGAGCGAAGACAGCGAGAATGTGAATTACCAAGAAATTGGAAATGCTCCTTTAGGTAGGGTGTGGTACAGGGATCGAACAGAATACAGTACAGAAGATGAAGAATGTGAGTATTCCTGCGAAGGCCGATAGGGAGCCACTTGAGCTTCTTGCGAAAAAGAGAAACATGGTCATATTTACGTAAGCCAAATATAAACCGGATACAGAAATTTTGAAGCCGCTCAAGTTTATTTAATTGCTCCTCTTTAATATCAAGGTAACTGACATCAGCACAATCAAGAATTGGTAAGAGGAGCGATTGTGCTAACGAAATTTTGGTGGAAATTGGAAGAAAGTTACGCAGTCTCTGAAGAGATGATATTGACGCAAACATCTTTCTACTTACCTCACTTACCTGTGCACTCCAAGACATATGTTGATCAATGGTTATACCTAAATTCTTTACAGTTTTACTGTAAGGTATAATAACACCGTTTAAAATGACATGTGGTAGAGTGTCAAAATTAATCCTGACTATGAGCTTGGGACTGCCTATAATTATTGTTTGAGTTTTTAAGGGATTTAATTGCAATCCAAAGGACTCACACCACATAGTTATTTTTTTAAGGTTTATATTGATGTCATTAATAGCGGTAGGTAGATCTGAAATTTTTGATTGTGTATATATTTGCAAATCATCTGCATATAGGTGGTAGAGAGAAGAGATATGCTGACAAATAGTATTAATAAACATTGAAAATAAGAGCGGAGACAACATGCCACCCTGCGGAACGCCAGCTTTGACTGGAAGCCAGTCAGAGTACGAATCATGAATTCGTATACGTTGCCGACGTCCATACAGGTAACTACGAAACCAGTCAATTACATTAGGAGATACGTTAAGGGAACCTAAAGAAGCAAGCATAATCTCAAAATCAACGGTACCAAAATATGCATTGCTGAAGTCCAACAGGGTTAGTACTGTGACCTGCTGCTTTTCCATGCCTAAACGAATATCGTCAGTTATTTTAGCGAGCGCAGTGGTCGTATTGTGACCAGGACGAAAGCCGGATTGCAAGGGATTATGAAGATTATGAGTAGAGAGGAATTGGGAGAGTTGACGCTGTACAAGACGCTCAAGGACTTTGGATAGAAACGGAAGGATAGATATGGGACGATAGTCACTAAAACTTGTAGGATTGTTTTTTTTAGGTAAGGGTATAGTTGAGCGTCCTTCCACGACGTAGGAAATTCATTGCAATCAATAGAATAATTAAGAATGCAGGTTATGACAGGGGATAGAATATCGACGATGGGAATGATCATATTACGACTAATACAATCAGTACCAACTGCATTAGAATTGATGGCAAGGATGTTCTTCTTAACATCACTTTCTGTAAATTGACTAAAGAATAAACTTGGAATATTAGGAGAGGATGAAGCTGAAATGTTATTAATAGTTCTTCGCTTGGTTGCCTCATCAATGGCAAAAGAAGAGGAAAAATGCTTGTTAAGCTCATTTAAATTGATATTTTGAGGATTTACGTTGTTGCGAGCTTTCCCCACTCCTATAGATTTAAGAAATTTCCAAACTTTTAAGGTGTCATTTTCCTCAACCACGGATTTTTGAATATGGCGTCGTTGATTATCTCTACACAACCTATTGCATTGATTACGAACTTTAGTATACTTATGTCGGTTTACATCGTTAGCATTTGCACTAAACTTAATTTTGGCTGCATTTTTCTTAACTTGTAGCTTTCTGATTTCATCGGTTAACCAAGGAGCAGGAAGATGTTTCAATCGAACTGGGCGTAAAGAAGCATGCCGGTCGTAAAGTTCTGTCAAAAGCGAGTTAAAAACATCCACTTGGTCGTCGATAGAAGCGCCTTTTAGCGCATCTAACCAGTCAATCCGAGCTGCATCTTCCCGTAGACGATCATAGTCTATTCCATCAAAATTTCGCAGCAGAAGAATTCTTGGTTTAGCTTTAGGGGGCTTTATTTTGTAAGATAAGTAAAGGAGATTATGGTAGGAAAATGCCGAAGCAGGATATTGGCCATATTTTTCGACATGGTCAACAGAAGAAACAAAAATTAAATCTAGTAATGAGGGTAAACAATTCGGAAAGGTATGAGTGGCTGAGAGTGGGAGGATATTTAAGTTAGCACCGTTTACCACTGATTTCAAACGCGACGAGCGATAGTCGTCCTTGAGAAGGCAAGTATTAAAGTCCCCCATTATAATAGTGTGGCTGTACAACGGCTTAAAACGCTCCAACAGGGATTCAAAAGAAGAGAAGTAATCAATCGTAAGGCTTGGGTTATAATACACACCAAGTAAGACCTTTGTGTGACTAAAAACAACTTCAATGAATAGATGTTCAGGACCCACATTTGACTCATGCTGGGAGAAGTCCACAATAGAGAATGGTATATGTGAGCGTAAGTAGATAGCAACTCCGCCTCCAGTACGGCCAATACGATCGTTACGAATCAGATGAAACCCAAGGCAGAAGAAGTCGAAGGCAAGCAGGGCTTTAACCACGACTCAGATACTAATATTGCATGAACATATTTATTATCAAAAAAAGTTAAGAGATCTGGATAATGTGCAGGAATACTCTGGGCATTAATATGAATAATATTGAAATTCTTTAGAACATCTAAGAAATTGGAATGCAAAGTTTCGTTCAGTGAGGGAATACTTAAAAAGCTGTCATGACTGCTAGATCCATCAGAGGAAGAAGAAAAGGATAAAAAGGAGTCACTAAAACTGCTACAATTTCCTGCCATTAAAAATATATATCTATAGTAATAGTAATAATAAAAAATATATATAAATAAAGTGTGATAAAAATTATAAATAAAAAAATATATATAAATAAATAAATAACAATAAAATATATGATGTAAAAAATAATATAGATATGAAATAATCCTATTAATAAATATAAGTAGTATTAAAAAAGTTAGCTACACAGCTAAACACCTGCCAGTTGCAAAGAAGGAATATTTTACACACAGTTATTATAGACAAAGATCAAATGTTATAAAACAAATAAAGAAATAACAAATTATATGACAACACAGTAAAAGAAATAGAAAAAAAATATATTATAATAATCAAAAAGAAATTGATAGTGTTATCTATATGAACGCCAAAAAGACTCGAATCTATTTCTGTCAAATACGTCAAACGTCAATGTAACGACTTATGCCAGTGTCATGACATCGGCAATTTGAGTTTGCGAGAACAAGAAAATGAAAAAGAAATAAACATGTTATATAAATACTACATTGTAAAAACACATAAAAGTACCAATTAACAAGCGAAAAGTATAAAAAATAAATAAATTAATTAATTAATTAAGCAGTAGACAGCGATAGTATTCATAAAAGATATTACAATCTACAAAAAGGAGAATAAGTTATAAGTGTAAAATATTATAATGAATACAGTAGATTATTGCTATTTTTAACGATACGTTTAACACGTTGAACTACCACCTTATTGTCAACACTTTTAGGAGCCACCACGGTACTGGGCTTCGGTGATTTTGGCGGCGCCTCGGGAATGCACTGTATATCACTCATGCACTCAGCTCGATAGCGCGATCCATTGGGTGCAATGATATTTATCAAGCCATCACGCGTCCAGCATTTCCCTATGCCAAAACGTCGCCTAGCTTCTAAGAACAATTCGTGACGACGTTTGGTCAGAAACTCGGATTCTGTGATACCTGATCCCTTAAGCCTGGTTTTTGCAAACCACACACTATCACGCACTTGAACATTAGTAAATTTCACCACTATAGGCCTACGTTTATCACCAGAAGAACGTCCCAAGCGATATGAAGAACCAATGTTAGCACTGGCAAAATTTGGCAGATCCAGATGTTCAGCTACTACACTGGTTACCACTGTAGTGGTGTCTTCATTCTTCTTCTCTGCCACACCATGGAATAGAAGCATTTTGCGCCTTCTACTCATTTCCATTCTGTCCACTTCTCTAGACAATATTTCAACTTGCTTTTGCAAGGAAGTCAGCGCTGTGTGGATGAAGTTTTTAAAAGAAGTGAACTCCGCTGCAATAGAAGACACTGTGTCTGGTGAAGATGTTTTATTAAGATCCATTTGAAATACGTTCATTCTGGTATTGAACATATCAGCCATAGCAGGAGTCCCTCACTCCTTGATAGCATCCATAGTTGTTAGTTGTTAATGTACTTAAACTTTGTGAAAGATGAGAAATTAAAGGATTATACTTTCTGGCAGGTATTTAGTGTTACATATGCATAGATTACAATTAGAATTGCGATAAAAACTGGTTATATGTATTATTTAATTAAAGAGCTCCAAAAACCTTGTACACTTATTTACTACCCTCCAGTGAAAACCATGTATATATGTATGTATGTGTTGACCCTTTCATTTGAATGAAAAATAATCTATACTAATGTATAAAGCTTAAAAGTTTGTTTGAACGCGCTAATCTCTGGATTAGATTATATACCGTGAAATGGGGTTACTTGGACACGTTTTATACACATTTTTTAAGATAAAAAATGAAAAAATAAAGTTAGGGCAACAAACACATTTTAATCATACCGACCTAACTTTAAAAATTAGATAGTTAATATAAAACAATGAAAATATCATAAACGCACAAATGTGCTGTCTAAATAACACCGTTGCTGGGGCTACTTTAACACAAGTTTCGATTGAAGGAAAATATCTTACTTTACATGTTAGATATCTAGTTTACCCGTACATATCTCAAATCCGATATTCGGCTCATCATACTTGTATAAGTTTACACCTTCACTGAGGAAATGGCAAGTTCAGGATTAAAAAAGGTCATAATGTCATCGCGGTTGACGGACGACCTGAACTGCTTGATGTTTAATGCAATTCTGATGGTCAGACTAGTTTTGGCGATAAAAATATCGATGAAATCTAGACCTGGGTGGTTGTTCCTGAAGACCTGATCCCGCTTGCCTTGTTTATGCAGGTATTTTATCACCACATTTGGAATTTCTGCCTTTGTCAAGGGGAATCGCATCAACAGCCAGAGTTTCAGAAATCAACTGCTCTTTAGACTGACTTTAAAATGGTTGGATGTCCAATGAGTGTGGTATTCCTTCCAAGAATATTTTGTACTAATATTGCCTGAGGCACTTTGAAAGTTTCAGCGGCCTTTTTCTTTGACATCCCAAGTAGCTTTTTCCAAGTCCTCCGCTTTGTAATTCTTGTAGGGTTTTGAGCCTGGAGTCTTTTGATACGTGCGCACCATTTTTAATGACTGATTATCTACCTCTAACAACAAGCAACAGAACTCAAATAAGCAAAACATAACCTAACCTCGCTTTCATGACACAGGAATAAACACGTCTGCGTTGTATTCAAGTAGCCCCGGGGTGTCCAAGTAGCCCCACTTTACCGTATATCAGTTTGTTGTTTGTACTTCCCTCGAAAAAAACTGGATGGATTTCAATGATTTCTTTTAGCATTATAGATGATACTCAGAATTGAAAGTATAAATCTAAATTATTTTTTAAAGAAATAAAGTTTCTGAATTTGGACGTAGGGGTTATCCCTGAAACTGAGTTCGAATTCGATTTTGAAAGTTCTTTCACTAATAGGAAGCTACATATTATGCCAAGTGCTATTTATTATTTATTCCTATAAGAGGGTGTTAGAAATCATAATAACTTTAAAGTATAAAATAAATCGAAAATCTAGTCGTTGTTGTTTTATCGACAATCTAAAAGGTTTGAAATAAAGCAATAAAATGTATGGCAAACGACACCTAGAAGCGCACCCAAGTAAAACGGGGGTTAGTCGCTAGTACATATTATTTGAGCGACTTCAATAAGGAAGATATAGTCTCTTCTAGTTTTTTTATATGTATTTTCATGTCTTTATTTTATAAATAGCTTTATAGATCAAATGGATTGAAATAGAAACACGTGAGCAAGCAGAACTGTAGGTAGTAACTTAAATAAGTTTGAAACGATAAAGCGATTTATCATTTATCTGCCAAAGTAAGAACTAAGAAGAACTAAATCAATTTGGGCGGGTGTTACGCCTTATAAGGTAAGGCAATCGCTGTCAAATTTTAATTAAAAAATGGCTGTCCAATATTTATTTTTTAAAAGTAAATGAGCAGTATTCGAACTAAAATGTATAAATAAAATGAAATATTAAGTAGTTGAGTGGGGCCTTACCATGAACTCTAATAGCATGAATACTATAATCTTACTTTGAGTTTTCGTACCATGACGTCTTAAAAGCAAGGTTATTATAAGCTTGAAACATTCTTACTTTCTTAGCAGTTTTGTGACGTCACGACATCGAAATTACTGAGAAAATGCTAATATCGTTCATTCAATTCGTACCATGAGGTGGATTTTGACAAATAGCATTCTTACTTTTCTGTCATCATTAGCAATCTTGTAAGAGTTGTTGATACGTGACGGATGTATAATTATTTTCAAAATTTATAATATAAAAGATAATTGACTGTGCCAGATAAATTAAGTAAAACCTATTATTTTCGTAAATCTGTCCATTGATACACGTATCATGTAATTTTAGTACTTCGGTAATTAATTTATACTTTGATTCTAGAAGTGTAATAATTTCGAAATACTTATGTTTTTAAAAGCTTATAACTCAGAAGCTTGTAGTACACGATATCTCGTTTTCAGCTATGTTCCGAATGTGACCTTTGCGACATCAATTTAGAAGAATTTACTAAGCATTACCTATTATTTACGTTTTTCCTTAATTTAAATATGCGCTATACTGTATACAAATAGTCCGATCGCGATACGCTACACAAAAATGGAAGGGGGGACAGGGGGGCCAAAACGTTGAATAATAGTTTTTTTTTCAATTTCTGGCTTGCTGTGACATCCTGTCGAAAAAATATATTCTTAACAAAAGTTATAGGTGAAGTAAAAATCTACGACTTTTACAATAACCTCAAAATTTTCGATATATTACTATATATCGAAAATATATTTTCGTTTTTTAATAATTTTTTTCTTGTTTTTTTTTTATTTAAAAATTCTGCAATTATTTTTTGATTTTCATGAAACTAGGGGAATATAATTAAATAGTCTCGGAAGACTTTAAATCATCCCCAACTTCAAGTGGATGTTTACATTTAAAAAAAATCGTTAAATTTTTAGATAGAGCACATTTTTTTCGTCTTCCACTCTACTTTTTGAAGAAATAAAAACATTGTATGGTCGTCCTGTAAAAACACCCTTAAAAATTGAAAAAAACTGGAGAAATCCTTACATTACATTTTTTTTTAAATCATTGAAAAAGTGTACTTTAATGACAAAATATAGTTGGTTTCATGAAAATCGAAAAAATAAAAAAAAAACGAAAAAAATTAAAACGGTTTTTTTGGAAATATGTCGAAATTTTTGAGGTTAGTTTAAAAGTCGTAGATTTTTACTAGCCCTACAACTTTTGTAAAGAATATTTTCGAAAGGACGTTACAGCAAGCCAGAAATTGAAAAAAACACTATTTTTCCACGTTTTACAGTGGGGGCGTTTTCCGGATTTTTATTCCTGCTAAATTTTAAAGCCATAAAACTTAAGTTTTTTTTTAAGTCATTTAAAAAAAAAAAAATATTTCATGTACTGAGTTTGCTAAGTTACAGTTCTATTATATATATATTTCAGCTTCTGATCCCCCCCAAAATTTAACTCTAGATCCGTGCCTGCCTGGTCCCCTGTGCTTGTTTTTCCCTACACACTAAATGAAGACTAAAAAAATTCGAATGTCCGTTTTTATTTAGCTGACATTTTTTATTATTGTTCAACAGATTGCACACTGCACACAATATCAACCAGATTTTTTAAATACCATTAGGTATTTCCATATAGGTAGATAAACGACTTATCCTCGATTCGCTTGGGTGCATCCCTAGGTACCTACCTACGCGGATTATGTTCACATTTTTTTTTGCACCGAACACTAATTATTTTTAAAAATAAAATGAGCCGAGTTTTAGCTGTTACTAGAGTGCGCTGGCGTTCGACAGAAGCGCGCCTTTTAAGCTAATCGCAGTTTAATATGCTCAACCATATAAAGGTCTCAACTTACATTGGCACCGTCTTTTCTGAAACTATCAATTTTTAACTTTGCTGTGTCCATATAAACTTTCAATCATCATCGTTTTACAAACTACATATAATATAATTAACCAAAGTTTCAGCCAAATCAACAGTATTTTATAGTATTTTTGAAGTTATACTTCCTTTGGCGCGTTATGAAAAATGAAATATGGATGATGAGAATGATTTTTTTACGATACGACAGATTTAGACTACAGAATGACGTTAGTGGTTATTGACTACAGTGTAAAGTACAGAAGAATACATACAACATACAACATACAGAAGAATACGAAAAAAAGTAAGAAATAGTAAACAAAATTTAAAACATTTGAAAAAACAAGCTTTTATTTAAATGGTCAAAAATAACCAAAGAAGAATAAATTCTTACGTGCTTACATAAGTATACACAACTTTTTTCCAATAAATGTTTCTTTTGTTTTTTTTTTTTAGTAAATTGATTTAACTTTTTTTTATTTATGAACCGATTGAAATAAAACAAATATTAAATGTTAAGTGAAGCTTACCATAAAATACATTCGTGAAAACACCATCCAAATCGGTTTAGCCGTTTCTGAGATTAGCGCGTACAAACGCACAGAAAAACAGACAAAAAATCTAAAAATATTTTTTTTGGGTTCTATAGCGTTAATAAAAACCCCCAATAATAGTTTTTCTCAAATATCTCCCATGTACAGACAGCGATCACTTACAATTTATTATATGTATAGATAATATGGACATTGATTATTTTTCGTCACCTACATTTGGCTCTTTCAAAACAATACCATGTCAAATACGAGCTCGCGGGCCAGTCGTTGGCGCGGTAGCGAGTGGCTGGCGAGCGTGGAGCTCGCCGCTTGCTTGCTGCTCTAGAATGTTGTATGTACAAGTTGGCCGGGCGCGCAGCGCAATTTTTTAACCGACTTCAAAAAAAGGAGGAGGTTCTCAATTCGTCGGGGACTTTTTTTTATGTATGTTCCTCATTACTCGAAAAT